CTTTTGTTTATTTCTTTTTCGAAAATATGATATTTCTTTTTTTCACTTTTATTCTTTTTGACCTAATATTGATTTTTTTAAAATGCGGTGGATCAATAATTATAAAAATATATAAGATACTGTAGAAGAAAGCCTCTGAACGTAAGAGAAGCTTCAGAAGCCACCGGACCAAGCGGAAGCTTCGGAAGCCTCGACATGAATCCGAATATCACCAGTGGCATTTTAGTAAATACGTAGAAATCTTGAGTAAACCAGGAATAACCGAGAATAGAGACTAAACCAGAGGACACCCCGAAAATTAGATTATTTAAGTCTGGTTTAGGGGGGTTAGGTTCAACTGTGACGATCATTTTCTGTCATTTAACCATATTCTTGTAAATTTTCATGTTGTCAAGGTCGTGAATCTTTAATCGTGAATATGAACACCACGTTAATGGCAATGGGGCAAAGATCCCCGTTAGTTTAATTTAAAAATAATAATTTTATTTGTAAATCTTTATAAATTTATAAATAAAATTTTGAAATACCCTATATTATAATAGAAAAATTATGTTTGTCCTTTATTAAATATTTTACTAGCTAGATCCGCCACTGATCACAATAATTATTCAAATATGAGAAAAACTCATTATTCTATTTTGTTTTGTTTTTAGAATAGGCAAGTCGAGATATTTTTAACTCTGTTTAAAAAAAATGGATTCACGAGTCAGTTTGTCACGAGTCACGAGTCGTTTTTTTAATTCTCTGTTGATTTTCTTATTAGGGTTCATTATCCTCTTCGTTTCTTTTCTTTAAATTCTTGACAATTATGGGTTTTTCGTTGATTGGCTAGAGATGTTTCTTTTTACCACCAATGCCGATTTTTATTGTTAGACGAGACGAATCAAGGCCGAGTATTTTCAAACGAGTCAGAACGAGTCGAGCAAGTCCAACATTTTTTAGATCGCCACAATCCAGATTGGATTAACCTAATTAAACCGGGTTATTATAATAAAAAATATCCTCCATTTGTTATTTTAACTTCAATACATACATTTTTTCAACTGTGATCTTGTGAGCCATGTGATCCGAAATATAATCTTGGTCACATTTGTCATAACGTTAAATTTATTATGATCACACTCATTCATTATATTCATACCTTATATATCTCACTAATCATTTGATAAAAATATTAAAAATTTAATGTTATGACCAATGTATCCAAGATTATATTTCGGGTCATATGGGTCATAGGATCACAGATGGAGAATGATATATCTTGAAGTCAAAATAGCAAATAGAGAGTATTTTTTATATAATACCCATTTAAACCGAATCTTTTAACACCCCTATAGATTTTTCATCCAATCAATTAAACGATTATATATATATATATATATTGCCGAAACCGAAACAATATTTTATTATAAACTAGGGGAGGGGACAAACATAAACGACGAGGGGACGAACATAGAACAAAGACAGATCACAGAAGGCATAACCAAAGCAAAGTGGTTAAAATATTATTATTGGAGGGACTGCAGGAGCTATAGCTAGCAGAGGCGGGTGCAGAAGCAGCGGCGGCGGAAACCGACGCAGTGGCCGCCGGAGAAGCCCTCGGTGCGGCAGACCATGGCGCAGTTGTGGTTACTCACGCACGTCCTGTGGAAGTGGTGGCTCTTCGACTGGCACATCCTCCCCTCCCCCCTCTCTCCTTCTGCACGTATATACACATATATTATATTATATATATACACGCGCGCGTGGAAAATATCTTAGAAATAAACAATGGTCGTGCTTTTTAGACGATTAAAGATGGATTAAAACCTCCATTAATTCAAGAATCAGACCAAACTCCTTTTTTTTTTCTGTCTATGCATAGGAAAAAGATGATTGAAGGGTAAGGGGAAAAACACTATAATCTTACATATGTAAGATTCTTATAGTTAGTTTTTTCGAGTTTGGTTGGTTATTCATTATTTATTCGTATATTTTAAAGCATTATGTATAATCATGGTGTTATTTTCTGTATATATATATGAATCCGATAACTTACGAGATGCGAAGACGACGAGAAGAAACAAGAAGACAAGGAAGAACTTCTTCTCCATGTTTTCCTTTTGGATTGAATGTATTACAAATTCTCTCTCTTTTTTTGTTTTGGTGTTATGTCTGAAACCAAGTGATGTAGCGGAGGATTCTCATATTATCGCCCCCCCCCTATTTATAGTAATAGAACTTAGTCGCCCCCTCAAGGACCTATGAAATTTCTTACAATATTTATGTTTTATTTCATTATATTTTTACATTTGTATGATTATAATATCTTATTTTAAATCAGAATAAACAATACTGAAGATTCTCGTCATGGGAAGATGTGTAAGAGTTTGGTTGCATGATGCATCTTTATTATATACATATATATATATATAATTGGCTTCCTTGGATATATACACGATTCCATTGTGTGTTTGTCTTTTTGTTGCGGTCTTTCGAGGGGAGGTTTAACTTTAAACCCTAACTCTGATAAGAAGGTAGGTCACGTAATTGTCATTGGTTATTATATTTACATATATCATATATTGCATATCTACAAACACATTATCATATACTTTTACATTTATTGTTTTATTATCTATTTGAAACCATGCATAATTATCAGGGACAATATTCTAAAAAAAACATAAAATTTTACAGGTCTTCATAATCGTATAAATAGATTTTTTTTATACCAAAATACATAAATTTTGCACATATTGACATAAACACGCATCCGTTGTGAGATATTTGCAAATTTTAAGTAATTTATGACAATATTTACAAATTTTATGTGTTTTTGCAAAATTTTCAAAGTTCATATATTTATATTGCAATTTTTGAAAGTTCAAATTTTTTTTGAGATAATTGTCCATAATTCTTATGATTTTGTCTATCATTAAGTTTTTTTTTTAATCGGATATCCTAGATCAAGGCTCAAACTAATCCAGGACCAGGAACCAATCAAGTGATTTAGAATATACGTTCCTTCCCCAAATTTGAGGTTCGAACTTGGGATGAGATAAACGTTTTGTACCTCCATTTCACCGGTTGAACTACCCAAATTTGGATATGTATCATTAAATTTTGTATTTTTTTTATAATCCAAAAGTTAGCCGGATTTTTATTCCGATTATATCTCCTAGAAGATCGGAGAAATCCAAATGAATGTCTCTCTCGAAATAAGGATCCGAACATGGGTTGAGAAAGAACTTTACTTACTTCCTTACCGGTTGAGTCACCCAATTTTAAATTAAGTTTTGTATTCTTATTTATTTGTCTATCAAAAAATAGATATACGATACTTTAATAAAAAAATAAATTATAATATATATTATGGTAGAAAAATATTTAATGTATTCAATGTTTTCATTGCATTATATATATATATATATATATATATATTAGAAGATTTTAAAAAATGTATTATGTGTTTAAAGACGACTTAGTTTTCTCTCCATCGTTATATCAAATTTAAATATTTAGTATATGGTTTTTCTTATAAAAAAAATGTACGCTTAATAGAGCAACCGTGTGAAAACCAAGAACCATGGTCGGTCGGTGGAAACAAAGGTAGGTTAAAACACAAACTTCATGTCACAAATTTCTTGTCAACACATGGACATGCACATGATGATGTGTGCAATGCATGGGGGGATGTGGTTCACTGCCCATATGCAGTCACGTGACCATCAAGTGGGATTATATTTAAATCCTTACACTACTGTTAGGTTATTTAAAGGCATTTTACAAGTTAAATCATCATATTTGGATCTGTCTCCATCCATATATGAATTTAAACCATATTTTATATAGTTTTTATTGATTAATAATACGTATAACTTTTTTGTAATATTCTTTAAAATATTTTTATTTTTATATTTAGTATTCAATTTAAACTTATATAGATCATAAAAACATGATTTAAATTTTAGATATATAATTTGAATATTCAAAAAGTTATACAGTTTTCCGACTGTTTTTTTGGTTTTTATTTTATTTTGTAGATATGAAAGTTTGCGAATTGGAAAAATGTAACGATTGATCTTTAATTTAATCGTGGTACATGATAGGAAAAAAAATACAAACGTCGCATCGTTGGGGTTAGACAACAGGTTATAGGCCTTTCCTAATTTTGGACCAAACCCAAAATAAACCGGGCTTGATTATAAGTAGGGCCTACCCATTCTGAAACGACGCCGTATCGATGATAAACCCCGAAATTCAAAGAAAAAGAAAAAAAATACAGACGATATTATCCTAAACTAAAAAAAAAAACTTATCATTGGCCATTTTGGACGACAGGGAGACAAGGCGCGTAGCAACACACGTGCAGAGTTGGTATTTTTCTTATAACCGAGCGTTATAATATATCTTATTTCAATAAAATTGATTTAAAACTTACATATAATTTTTAAAATTAAAATTAAATAGCATATGAATAAAAACAAATCACCCAACAGTTGATGATCCTAAAATTACCCTTAAAATTCTGAATTCAATTTTACTTGTAGAAATATATATAATTTCTGGACCAAAATGATCATATACAAAGACTGATCTCTGATCTGGATTAGTCGGGTCGAAGGTAGGAATAACTATACTGTTTATATAAAAAAAAAAGTGGAATCGAGAAAAAAATCCGAATCCGAAATCTCAAATATACTCTACACGTGTATGGGCAACCGCTTAACCAGCATGCATGGTTATGGGTCAAGGCTCTTATTATTATTGAAAATAAAAGCTTATTATAACTCCATGGCTATGTTATGTGCATATATATATATATATATATTAGTATAGACCATGTTATGTTATTTCGTGAATAACCTAATTGGTCCAACGTAACTTGCCGTGCCCAATTTCAGTCCATAATTGCTAACTTTACATATCCATATCATCTTATATTCATGTATATATAACGAGTACAATTATATTTTATTTTCCGTAAGAGTGTATATATATAGAGAGAGAGAAACGGAGTGTCCAATTTTATATTGGATTTTTAATTACTTCAGTTCAAAACAAATTACATTGAATTCGTAATTTATATTGAATTTTTAAATGTTTTCATTTTTTTTATTCACATCAATTAGTATTCGATTTCGAAACATCCTAGCCATACAATATTTACATCAAATTTAATTCTACACAACTATATATTATTCGATTCTATCGACTAAATAATTAGTTTATTATATACATACATACATATATATATATATATATATGAGCTTCGTCACCGTTGGATTCCAAGCTGGTTATCGGAATTTGAGTAATCCCTTCACGTACTCCATACGCACTCTCTCTCTCCGCGCGTATATATATATATCCATACACACATACACACACGCTTTCAGTGTAAGTATATGTGTGTTTGGATCTTACGATTTATCCCACGCAATTCAGCTTTTTCCGCTTTTTCTCAGATCCCCATGAACGACGCTTGAAGATGGTGGTTTCTTCTGCTGCGGAACTTTGATTTCTACGGGGGGGGGGGGATCATGTTCGTATATACGTATATATAAGTACATAGATACATATACACATACTCGTCCACGTATTGATTCGGAGTCTGGGGGAGTAGAGATGGAGAAGTACGAGGTTGTGAAGGATTTGGGAGCTGGGAATTTCGGTGTCGCCCGGCTTATGCGACACAAGGAGACGAAGCAGCTCGTTGCGATGAAATACATAGAGAGAGGTCGTAAGGTTGAGTTATCTTTCTTTCGCTTTCATTGATTCCGCCACTTATTTTCCTGCTTCCGCTCGGTTCCTGAGAAAATTCTGTTTGTTTCATCATCTGGGTTCCTCTGAATTGTATGAGCAGCGTTTCGTTTTCTACTTTGGCTCGAGGTTGTGAATTCTGATCAAATAATTGCTTGAGTGCATCTGATGGGTAGGAAAATGAGCAGATTTGCAGAAATAAGAGTAAGATTTGAACCCCAGAAGATAGTACTGGAGTGTTCAAAGAACAAGGATGTGAAGAACAATGATGATAAATGCTTTGGATCTAAATTGAAATTCTATTTATGAGATCTCATGGTTGGTGTATTGGGCATGGAATGCAGATAGATGAGAATGTGGCAAGGGAGATTATTAATCACCGGTCACTAAGGCACCCTAATATCATCCGGTTCAAGGAGGCAAGTCTTTAAAATGCCCTTTTCATAAACTAGCTCCTGAAGAGACGTTCATATGCCATTACAATTTCTGTAAATTTCTCTTGCAGGTGGTGCTGACTCCAACTCATCTGGCAATTGTGATGGAATACGCTGCCGGAGGAGAACTCTTTGATCGAATCTGTAGTGCCGGTAGATTCAGTGAACCCGAGGTGATGTTTTTTCTGCCGGGTATTGGTCATTTCACTGTTTGGATTCTCCTCGATCTTTTGGTGTATTTGAGTTTCTTGTTTCTGTCTGTTCCAGGCTAGGTACTTCTTCCAGCAGCTGATTTGCGGTGTTGACTACTGCCACTCAATGGTATGTATATATATATATATATACACACACTAAACATCAAATTTTATACAGCCAGTAATCCATAAAGCTGAAAGCTTTATGCTTCCATTTGTGTAATCTCCTTTTCTCGTGCGTCCTCTTACATTTGCAGCAAATATGCCATAGAGATCTGAAGCTTGAGAACACACTGCTTGATGGAAGCCCTGCTCCCCTTTTGAAAATCTGTGATTTCGGATACTCTAAGGTCTGTATGCTTTGTTTGAGAACACTCAATTGTCTCCATCCGGTACTATTTTTGGAGAATCTTGAAAATACTGCATCGTTTTTCTCAAGGTTATGGAAAAAAGATTACGCAAAAGGGCTTCAAACAGAACCGGGCATGATTCCAGAATCTAGTGATTGGATCAATTCCATGATTTTTGAGATCATTGAAGTCTTTTGGATTTATTCATTCCATGTTCTAAATCTGTATTTTCACTCCTGTTTTAATTTTCCCTCTTGTGTAGTCATCTCTGCTACATTCTAGACCCAAATCAACGGTTGGAACTCCTGCATATATAGCACCTGAAGTTCTTTCTCGGAAGGAATATGATGGCAAGGTAGATTAGTCATGTTTCTTTTTGTAGATATATAAAATTTGTAGTTAAATGTACAATCTGGTTGCAAGAGTAAGCTTAGTATCTTCATGGAGAGTAGTAGCTAAAGATAGGAAAACAGTATATATATATTTCGCAAAGATCCTCCTAAAACTTTAGTATATACACGGTAGAAATTTTTTTTGAACTTTTCCGGGCACTCATTTGCGGGATTTTGTAGTTGGCGGATGTGTGGTCTTGCGGAGTGACACTTTATGTGATGCTGGTGGGAGCGTATCCGTTTGAGGATCCGAAAGATTCACGGAATTTCAGGAAAACAATCCAGGTAATATAACTCCGAGACTCTTACTGCATTTCTCGCAATTCCCCATATCGTTTCCTTCATTAGAGCTAACGTCCAAACGATTTTCTGCAGCGAATAATGGCTGTACAGTACAAGATTCCGGATTACGTCCATGTTTCTCAGGATTGCAGACACCTTCTCTCTCGCATATTCGTTGCTAACCCGCTCAAGGTATTATTACTTTCTACAGTTGTAACAGTGAAACCTTCCAAGTTTTTTTTCAATGAAACTACAAGCTAAAATTCGGGTTTTCCCCGCACAGGTTAACTTGTTGTAAATCTGATTGCCCTCTTCTTCGGATCTGTAAACTAATATGCAGAGAATCACGCTTAAAGAAATCAAGAACCACCCTTGGTACTTGAAGAACTTGCCGAGGGAGCTGACAGAGTCGGCTCAAGCAGCTTATTACAGGAGGGATAATTCGAGCTACTCTCTTCAGAGCATAGAGGACATAATGAAGATCGTCGGAGAAGCGAGAAATCCAGCTCCGACGGGCTTTGGCTCGGGATCCGAGGAGGAAGACGAGGAGGAGGCCGAGGTGGAAGAAGAGGAAGAAGATGAATACGGAAAGCATGTCAAGGAGGCACAGTCTTTCCAGGAAACTCACAAAGCGTAAGCAGAATCGTTTCATCTCTGTAACTTTTATTACACAATTGAATCCCACGTTTTTCTTGTGATTTTGTTGTTGGACTTCTGTCTCTGAAAGAAAATAGTTAAATTAATGCTTTCACGTTTTGTAACTAACAAACTTGCGTCTCCCTTGGTATTTACACTTGGGCATGGATCGGGTACAAAAAATTCAGATTCGTATTCTCGATATCAAAACTAGGAATATTCGGGGATCTGAAATTCGTATTTACAAATATATAAGTTTAAAATAATGGGTTTGAGTATCCGAAAAAATTTGGAGATCTGAAAATTTTCACAACCAAAAAAGATGTTGAATATATATATATATATATATATCATATATATTATATATTATAAGAAACTTTCAGATAGTAAACAATGGTACGATTTCATTACACAAAAAGGCACAAACCTCAATAAGCTTTTACACAGTCCGAGTTCCCACAACGTTGAAACAGATACACTCATCTCGTGTATAACATGGCATAACATTTCGGCTGCTGCAAAAAGCTATACTACTAAACCCACACACAGACGATGTTCTTCTCCATATCTTTCTGTCCTGTAGATTACAAACCCCAAAAAAAACGTAAAGAATATGTATGTATATATATATATATATATGTGTGACTTTGGTTGTTCATGGCAAGTCAGTCACTGAAGTCTAAGCTTCCGCTGCGTGAGCTGCTGAAGGAAAGGCCTCTCATATGGCCGGAAATGGCAGAGCCGTCAGTTTTCTTCTCCTTGAAGAACCTCTCCCTCTCCATGTGCTTCGCTGGCGGAGGCGGAATACCGACAGGAGGAGATTGTGAATTTCTGTCAAGTCTTGTCTCCGAAGGTATAGGCCGTATAAGTGGACGGTTGAGTCTTTCACCTGGAATGGATGATCCGAGAAATCCCGGGGGAGGTCGTTCTCCCGAGAATGGCTCTTCTTCGTCTTCAGGCTTTGCTCGGGCTTTTCCTTTCCGCAGTCTGTCGAGTTTTGCATTGGCATTTACGGGTTTAGTAGCAGAAAAATAGACTTTAACATCATTTGGATGCAATCAATGTATCTAATGAGATATATTTAATCCTAGTAGCAAGACATCGAAATCTTCATAATTTAGCCACTTTCCATATCAAGGAGTTCAAAGCAGTGACTGTAAAAGAGTGACAAACCTTCTGAATAACTGCTCAGGCTCCTCCTCCTCTTCTTCATCATCATCCTCATGGTTAAGAAGATTTGAATTGGATATAGAGCTGCTTGACTCAGAATGGAGATGATTTGCAGTAGTAGAAGCACTCAGCTCATGTTTCTGATGATTCCCATTTGAAGTAGAACGACCTGGCCCGGAATGGGGATGATATCCATTGGATGTAGAGCTGCCCGACTCCATGATCCTGCCCGATAGCATGTCATCGTGTCTAGTGAGAATTCTTTGCAGCTGCTCATTCAATTCAATTGCTTGAGAAACGATCCTTTCATCCCTGCAGCAGAAGATGAGTGAGAACTAAACCGGCTATCTAGAAAATACCTGAGTTATATGGAATTATATGCTACGGACAAAGGCATAGGAATAGTGAGATAATGCATTTCAGAAGATTGCCTAACAGGCAGAAGCATAATTCTTATAATATCCTCTTACTAAAAGAGCAACTTGCCTTGATGTCATCACGAGATGCATAACGCGTTCCTTCTGAAATGAACATTGCTCCACAAGGTCAAGAGTAAACTCATCTTTCGCTACCTGGATGGCAAGATACAAGTAATCAGAAAAAAGATGCTACCGAAACAGGCCAGCTTATTTATACAACGGATTGATATTCGTGGGTAATATAAGGCTTTCCAATCACACAATCAACAGATGACATGTCAAACATGAATCATCTGTCAAGCACAGTCAACAAGCATACCTCGGGATTTTGAGAATCGATTGTGTCAAGAACTTCCTTCAGAACTTCTAGTGCACTACTAGCTTTTTGTAAGATGCTGTATGCAACAGAAAGCAGAATACACCAAGCGAAGTTTTAGAAAAAGCAACAAGAACTGGCTAGGGAAAAGGCAGTGTACCTGGAAGGAGATGCAGGCTCAGGTTCTCGCTGGTGAGCAGTCCCCTCTTTCCTAGCAGATGCAAGTTGTTCATTAAGCGTATTTCTGGGGGCTGCTTGTGTAGAGCCAGGGTTAGGGTTTGGTGTAGCATGAGTTCTCCGAGGAAACTTAACTCCTGCATGCTGGAGGCAACATAAGATGCTGTCTCATCAGCTGATATGCCAAAAAAGACATACTCAACCAACCAGAATCTCACAAACAGGCTAGTTTGACTGATAAAATTTCTATCAAGCAGTACTACAGAAGTGATGTAATAGAAATGAACTGCTGCCATAAAAAACTACGCTCAGATTCTAAGTGAAATATAATCGAAGATGCAATAACAAGTAGCAAAGTTATGTAGCTAATTATCAGTGAAATCACAGAGAAAGATATCCCCAGCATAGTCTGCAACCTGAGGAAATCTCTCATCTGATCAGTCTCATCTAGTGAAAGTGTATAGCATTGCATAATGAGAAAGGGCAAAGAAGCTGAGTATATTGGTATCTACTCACCACTAAATCGTAATATGCTGAATAATACTGAGGGAACTTCCCCGAAGCACCGCCAAGGGAGGTTTGTGTAGCATCAAGAAGGAGAAAGATCCTCTCTCTTACAGGCAATTCTGACTACAGTAGGATTTCAAAATGCCACCAAACAATAAGCAAACTAGATAAGCTGTAAAGTTCTCAACTTTTTCGAAAATAATCTCCAGAAATAGATGTACATACTTTTTTCTTCACAATCTTCACAAGTATAGGGAGAACCCCCACTTCTATAACCTGTTTATGAATATTCTCCCCAATATTATTCATCAACATCTCCAGTAGCTGCAATACCAAATGACGAGGACAATGACAATTCAAATGGGTTACCACACCATTCAAAGATAACAGCAACTCCAACAAGGCGGTTAAAAAAGCATCCCAAATGATACAGTAGCAGCTCCATTGTTATCTGCTGATAAAGCATGACATTAAATTAAAGATAGATCTAAACCATGAACATACCATGACAGCATACAATTGAGTATTTGGGTTCTTGCTTCCCAACCGTTTCTTGATAGCCTTGATAACATCTTTAGCTTGCCTGCTCAAAAAAGGAATTATGTCAGAAGAGCAATCCAAACGTGTTGACAGCCTGATGCAAAAAATATCAGGACTTCAAGTTCCACCCTAATTCATAATAGCCAACGGACAACTTTTAATAAAAAGGAATGAAAACCAGAGGCAAGAGGACAAAATCGTTTTTTGTAAGAGAAAGAAGACATATAAATTGAAGCTTAAGCTTCATATGGCAGCTAAAATGGGAGTTTCACATCCAACGAAGTCCACTAGGAGTGCATCTCCTGTACCAAATAATAAAATGATGATCGAAAATACCTTTCATCCCGAGCAACTAGTTCACAGATTTCAATATTTTTTGCCCAGTCGACATCAGCAAGCTTCTCGTTGGTTGCAGAAATAACAAGCTCTGCTGCCATTTTTTGCTTATCTCTGGAAGCCACAGACAATTAGCAACTAAATCTTCTTACAATGACCATCCGAAACACATTTTGATTGATTTCTTAGAAGATATTCGATTCATATAACTGCAAGTTAAGCAAAGAGCATGTGGATGTTGAGGGTTGATAAACAAGTAAAAAATCAGAAAAGGGCAAGGTGCTTAAGTTGTAAAGACACTCACTGGAAAAGTCATCAATCTGAAGATTCAAAGCACAAAATTCAACCATCTTCTTCCAACATTTATATTTTCCATGTGCTAAAATCATCCCTCAGTTAAATCATCTCTAATTTACACGGTCACCAAAAGATAGACATGTAAGTTTAGCAATTCAAAGACCATAAACTCTCTGCTCCTAATTAACATTTTGGTAAGGAACAATTAGACTAATTAAATATGTTACTTGAGTTGAAAGTTAAATAAGTGATTCAATGAATTGCAAAAAACCACCTGAAACTACTTCAAAGAAAGGAAATGACAACAAAAAGTTTAAAGGATCTGGCCATAAGATAGGAAATGCTAAATCTCTATATCGAAGAGTTTTTTTTCTTTTTCTCTTTTCCAAATTCAAAACTACCCTGTTTTGAAGAAAAAAATTCAAAAGAAAAACGAAGCCATGCAGATTTGCTACTCCTAATAGAATTCCAATAACTAAAAAAGTAGGGGCTATTAGCCTACTACAGGAATGTGAATGGTAAAATTACGAGACAAGTAACAACATCGAGAAGAGAAGCAACCTACATTACTGAATGAAGGAAAGCCATGCTCTATGGTTTTGCTTGTAAGAAATAGCTTCGAACATGCGACAGCTTCTAATCTGCAAGCAATGAAAATATGTCCCATATGGAGCATGAAAGAAACAAACTAAACATAAGTGGCCTGAAAATATCTAAAAAAATCAAGCAGCAGCGCAATAAGAAAGTAACAGAACCATAGAAATCTGAACTTCCCAAATGAATTCTACAATCTATTCATCAAGCAAAGAACATATTTCTCTAAGAAAGAAATAACAGATCATGACAAAGACTAAAAGATCCTCATGTTTATGTTATTAGAAACATCTTTGACCACCAATTTCATTCATAAGACCCAGAGATGAACTTTTAAGAGAAAATTTGAAACTATCAATTGTGTCTGAGCACTTGTGCGATGAAATGGGGAGCAAAACATCAAGGCTTCAACTTATACTTTCCCAAGCAAGAACTACTTCAGGAAAAAGGCCATGGAACCAGACTCAAATGTCAGGACGCACAATGATACAGCAAAACATGAAGTGCGTACGGGAAAAAGCTGACGTTTTTCCCTTCTAGTTTCTCTGAATCACAGAAAAGGAACCATTGAACCGCTCAGAGTCAATAGCCAAAACGAACATGCCCAAAATCTCAGTATTCTTCCCGATCTCTACAACGCATGGGAAAGACCCAAATCGATGGCGAGAAAAAGTTCGAGTGAAACAAGGAACTGATCGCGACGAAAAATAGATAAAAGGGATAAATTTTAACAGCTTGAAACAGAAAAATCTAAATCCAACTAGTGAAAAGAATCTGAACCAAATATAGATCTCTATAGGATCGGGAACAATAAGCCAACAAATTTTGAGTGAACGACACCAAGGGTGAAGCAAAATTGTACCTGCGAAAACGGATAGAGCAACGGAGACAACAACGAGGAAGCCAACGAAGAGCCGATAAACCCTAACCAGATTCAGCATTTCACTGAAACCAGAGAGCAGATGAAGAAAAAGGAGGAGGAGGAGAACAGAAAAGCAAAAGCTAAACTCAGAGAGAGAGAGAGAGAGAGAGAGAGAGAGAGAGAGAGAGAGAGAGGTTTTTGCGCCTCTCCTCTTCACCTGTTAACTTAATGAATAGATTAATTAAATTAACCTGATTATGTTAATCAGGGATTAAATAAGGATTAGTTTAAAATTAAAAGATAAAAAAGAAAAAAAAAAATCAAAGCTGCAAGAGCAGCAGAGCACCGGCATGAGGTCTTTGTTGGTTTGGTCCAAGTGAAATGGCGGGGAGAGATTATAGCGTCACGCGCTTGTCTCCTTTTAACCAACGACTGACAGCCCATATCTTTGCCACGTGTACTTTCCTCTCCCCCCGGTAAAATCTCGGGGATATTTCAAATTCATCCCGATATTTCAGTGATCATTGACTTTCGCCCCGTTTACTTTTTTGTATGTGTTTCGTAAATACCCCAATAGTTTCGAGATTTTTTCGTTTGGGTGTATATATTCGAAATATGTCAAATAGGTCTTAACTATCGAAATTGACCCATTGAAACCCCAGTTTCCGTAATTTAAACGTCGAACGAAATTATAATTCACAATTTTTTTATCCGAAATTATGATTCTGATTTGAAATTAGAATTCCCAACTTTTTATCCAGAATTATGATTCTGATTTTTTTTCTTGAAGTTTTATACATATAATGAAAATTATTAATATGGTAATTACCAACCCACTTAATCAATTTGGCTTTGCTTTTTAATCAATCTATGGTGTTTGGTGTACTATTATTATTACGCGAAATTGTTAATTTGGTAATTATCAAACTTTTAGTCACTTTGCTCATCTCATTACTCTACAAAGCTTCCCGTTAAGTTGTTAACCTTAGAATACCCAAACCGATCCAAACCGAATAATGTATAAATACAATTAAACCGAATTTGATATAAAATCCGCATGTTTATGATTTCTTTTAAATACAGAATTGAACCTAAAGTAAACCGAATAAAATAATAACCGAAAAACTGAAAATTTCTTTGTAAACTAAATAATTTTATAAGACCGAATCCAAACCATATCGAATTCAATATAAATCCTATCAAACCCAAATATAAATAAAAGGAACCACCCAAACCAAAATCTGAAATAATAACAACCTTTTACCAAAAAAAAGCTTTAGAACAAATGCCACCAAGTTTCTGCAAGTAAAACACTAATGAATAGGAAGTAGGGATGTAAAACGAGCCGTGGATCGTGCGCCGATTCGTGAGTCGGCCATATTTTTCCGAGTTGGGTTCAAAATATTTGAACCTAGAAAAAACTAGGCCAAACGAGCCAGCTCATCATGAGTCGGGTTCGTGGCGAGTCAGCTCGTCACGAGCCGGACTGGCTCGCGGACAAAAAAAAAAATATATTTTTTTAATTTTAATATTTTAAAATATTTTTATATACAAATTATTTTTTTTATTACATATTTAGTTTGTTTTTATTTAAAATTTTATATTTTATTATATTTTAAATATTTTTTAAATATGAAAATTAGTTTTAAATATTTTTATTATTAAAATTTTATTGTAAAAAATATATATTTGGCTCGCGACCCGGCTCATTTGACTCGCGGGATAAGACGATATGGGTTGGTTTGATATATTTATAGCTCGCTAAAAAACGGGTCGGGCTGGGCTGGGTCGGGCCGGCCCGTTTTACGTGAGGAAGCATCCATGGAAGAACAAATGAGAATAAAAATGAGCTGAACTGATGCCAATTCCCTGAACCTTCAGAACAATGTTCATTTCTCATTTGCCATAAATGGACAAAGTCAAGCAATATCAATCACGATGATGGATGAAAACAGAAAGAAGCCAACACCATTTCCTATTCCCTCTATCCAAGACGTCTTGTATGCTATATGCTAAACTTCACCAAGTCTATGTAGGGGAAAAAACCTCGAACCCGAACGGAGAATTCCTCCATAACCACAACTGAAAAACTTCCTATACAGAACTCTCGGATCGGATGTCGATTTAGTCTTCTTTCCACTTGTTAACGTATCGGAGGAAGGAACTGGCGGGATTCTCCCTCGGGGGAGCCCTCACACGGGTAGACCTCCGAAGCACAGCCTCTTCCGTTTCTAAGTTGTGAGCTATTTCTTTCGATCTCTTCTGTGCTACCGAGCTGCAATACACAAGTAGTTCATTCAAACAGTCGAATCCCACTAGGTATTTTCAGATGTAATAAGCGAGATTTCTCGTTTTAGTTGACAATCTTCCAATTAGATTTTTGCCCGTGAGATGTTTTTCCAAGTAGAAAACACCTTATTCTAACTATTTACAATGATATTAGCAACTTGAAACTTTCCAAAAAATCGGCTAAATCTTTCTGCTTAGCAATGGATTAAGATAGATAATGTGAAGAAGATAGGGATATACTCACCATATTCTGTCGTAGAATTTCTCAAGTTGTTGGTGCAAAGACATTTCCCTCTCTCCTTTGCAGTTTAGCGAACCCTTCAACGCATCGAGCTGTGGATTCGAGGAAGAACGAGTTGAGGAGGACCCATACAAAAACGATTCGATTAATATGATTTTACAAAGGAATAAGGCATGCGACTTTTTACGATACCTCTTCCTTGGAACTATAATAGCCCCATTCTTTAGAATCCGGACTCTCAACAAATATCCTGCCATTGCGTCGGAACCACCAATACCTATTGTAATCCCTATCTTTACCCAAAGGGTTGGTCCGTATCACTATTTTCTCCATCTCTCTTTCATAATATTGCCTCTGCCATTGCGTCGGAACCACCAATACCTATTGTAATCCCTATCTTTACCCAAAGGGTTGGTCCGTATCACTATTTTCTCCATCTCTCTTTCATAATATTGCCTCTGCAAGTTTGTAAATCATAAGAAGTCAGAAGCAAAAAAAAAAAAAAAAAAAAAAAAAAAAAAAAAAAAAAAAAAAAAAAAAAAAAAAAAAAAAAAAAAAAAAAAAAAAAAAAAAAAAAAAAAAAAAAAAAAAAAAAAAAAAAAAAAAAAAACTATCATCTGTCACATTCATCGAGAGGGAGAGGCTATACTTTACCCTCTGCTCAGCGCTCCTCCTTTCTGTATTTCCGTTCTTATCTTCGCTCGTGAATTCCTGTGGTTGCTCCTTCCCCGTCAGCTCTTTCTCCTCTTTTGGTTGTGTTTTCGTATCTAACATCTGTTTTTTGTGCTTCCTTTGATAGACATTCTCTAGAAGCCTATCATCACCGATAAGAAAATAATGATAACAAGCTCTGAGACTGAGTCGAGTTTATTGAAGGCCGGAAAATTTTGTTTATGCGTAAATATGATATAAGGCATACCTCTTTTCCGATGGTTCGTCTTTTTCCGAAGAGATAAACTCATTGTTTTTCTCTGCATCGAACCCATTCTTTTTACCTTTTCTACTGCAGCTTCCGAGAACGTGCGAGGTATTTTTCTTATCCTCCACTCCGTCTCTGTCTAATACTCCGTTAGCTTCCTCACTAGTCTTCGACCGTTCTTTCTTCTCCTCTCTTTTCTTCCGGCCCTCCTCCAATGCTTCTTCTCTTCTAGCAGCACCTACGGCATGACGCTGTTCAATGAGCTCATCTACTCCCCTCTTAAACGTGCTTGTTTCCGTTATTTGGTTCACTAACTCCCTAAACATTTTCAACTTCACATCAGGGTAGAGAAGACCATAATGCCCCCGCTTGATTGTTCCAATGTGCGAGGAGAAATCAGGAATGTTGATCGATTCCAAGAAATCACATAGATACTCTGTCCATGTGATTAAAGTTATCTGAAAGAAAATGAAAAAAGAAAGTCTATACTGTCAGTCATCAACCAAAATTTAAGAAAAAATTGCAAGTATGAGCAAGTTTGGCAACTTCTTGTCTAAAACTGTGAATGAGAATAGTACTACTGGGCATTGAATTTATTATCAAGAGAGACTTTCCATGAGAGAGATTTTTGACCTTTGATTTGCGGTTCCTCTTCTGTAAAGCCGAAAAATTGTCGCCACCGTCATTTATGAGGAACTGGAAAAGACAAGCATGTGCTTCCATGATAAGCACCAAATTGCTCTCCTTGTGGCAGACAGCATTTTCAAAGTCTTCGAGAGAAAATCGGTACAAATTCAGCTGCCTAGCAAATGAGGAACAAAAATCCCAGACCATTAGAAGATCCCCAACGCAATCCATTGGAACACTGAAATCCCGTGAAGGAGAAGGACGTTCATTGATATCTGGATCATCAGGCCCAGGTTGCACCATTAAATCTTCGATTGGATAATTGATGGACTCTTCCTCTGACTCATTGACCTCTGGAAAGACAATAAGGAAGAACGGCCAAATCAATTGAATATTTGGATATCTAGTCTGAAACCGAAACAAACATATGCTAAAATGTCATAGTCTCGGCCAAAATTTTCGTCGTCGAATCAAAAGAAGACTTAGGGCTCATAATATATCACCTAAAAGCCACTATGAAATTGAAATCACCATGGAGCTTCTGCAAGAAAAAAAAAGACTGACTTGGATATGAATTGGTGAGCATTAGAAAGAAAGCTACCTTCATCTGTCCCATCTGCAACATGTCTACCATTTTCTGCTCTCTTTCTTTTGCCGTTTTCCCTTTCGGTTTTATCTCCCTAAAGTTTTGCACAGAGAAGAAAATGTTAGGAAATAGACCAATATATTAGGCAGTACGCACAGAACAAAGATCACATGGTTATGATTATATTCTTCCAATCTACCTTTGTTCTCTGCCTGTTACGTTTGTGAATCAGTTGTCCTCCCTGAAAGACATATTTGCTCTGCAATTCCTTAGGAATCTTTTTTGAGATCCCATGGAGTAGTGCCAGATTATCATTTACGACCCAAGGTATACTCCGGCATGTGGATTCCCGTATGAAGGATTTCAGGAAATTTCTACTAAAAGGAAACTTTTTCCATGACAGATCTTCCCCAGATAGCACTGTGTTTTCATCTATTTTCTTATCTTTATCAAGGAAGCGTACCTCGTACCGAGATTTACCAGCTCGATCTTCTACGATTTTCAAGATTCTGCATGGAAACAATTCCCCATTCCTTTTTCCGTACAACTCAGCACCAACAAAGAAACAACTTTGCAATTCTGATACTATTACTTCTGCTAGATCTTTCAATGAGAAGGTACCTGTCAAAATTGGAAAAGAAAGCTTAGAGAACGTACTTTTATATTACAGGTGCTGAAGAATTTTTCTCACATGAATAGTCACAATGTGAAAGCTTGCCCTTATTTACTTGACATAGGAACATCAAAGTTTCATCTAAGCACAATCTATGGAAAATTTGTAAGATTAAGAAAATAAACACAACATACACAAAATCCACGGTTTGACATGATAGAGTTGGTCCCTTCTAACTTTCATGAACAGCCATGTTTTGACTATATCTGATTGATCTGCTTCTAGAACCAGAATAATAACATAACCTGCTGCAGGTTCCTTCGTTGCTGTTTTAATTGATGCACACAAAAATACAATATTTCAAATTGCTACCATTCAAAATTCTGGTCTATGTTCTAGCAGCAAAATTCACCAATATTTCCATATTACATCTTTCAATGTCCAGGAAAATGATTATCCAAAAACGAACCACCAATAACAATCTTTAAGTAACTCTGTTTTATGGTAGAAGTAAAACAGAACCTGGTAAACATCATTCCTACCGTATCGAACACACAGAGGCATATCTAGCTCTGAAACTTTAAAAGTACAAAGTGAAGGCCCACTAAGCTGCCTGAGGCTTCAGGGATCCAACAGGATATGTACAAGGTGAAGTATGCCACAATACTCTCCAAGATAAACATAATAAATCTAGTAAAATTAAAACAATCAAGACTAAAAGCAGAATTAATACTAAAAGAATAAACCATGATACAGAAAATAGGAAAAGAAAGTTAAGAAACACTTACTGAACTGTATGATCCGTAAAGCAGGCGCCACTAGCTCTTTGGGCAGAGCCTGAACTTTTTCGCTTGCATGTCTTTCTGATTCTAACGCCTCCTCGTAGGTCAAGCTAGTTTTACCAGTAGATTTACATGTCCAAACCCGCTTCTGATACAGATTTATCTTCTTCAAGTACAATCTGTTCTTTGTTAAGCATACAAATCTATCATGTCCATATATAAAAGTGAATAACCACCAAGCCTCCTGGCTCTCTCCAGAATTGAAGCAGCCAGAAGGAAGCAGTATTCTCATGTTTTGAACTTGTTCAGCTTTCCTACAACTATACGCAGGATGAGAAGAAAGCAAATATTTAAGAAAAATATTCAAGAATAATTTTTTTAACCCAAGACAGATATTTCAACAGCTTGAGAATAAGGATACTGATAATCCCGGAAAATCTCTTTTGTCAAACGGACTTGATATACAAGTTCGTTCGACTCTAAGTCCTTTGGCGGCTCCAGTAGTTTATGTGGCTTCTTTTTCAGTAGAGGCATCCTTTGAACGTATAAGACCTACAGTTCATCAAAAAGTTCATAATTTTGGATGTATGATACTATGATTGCGAATTCACTTCCTATGACATATAATAAAAATATCCAAGAAATTTAAGCAACAAATGAACAACCAACCAATATGAAAGTGTTTTTCCTAGAAAGATGAAGAACAAACCCTAATCCTCATCCTTCGCAATCGTGTGACATTAAGAGATGCAACATCCAAAACTAATGCCAACAAGTGGACTGGGCTTGGCAGAGAATCAATTACATATAAACACACACATGCACATGAGAAGTAGCAATATTATGAAAGTGAAGACAAAAACCCTAGAACAGAAAATTAATTCTGCCGCTGATTCGCCGGATAAGTTGTAGCGAAGCAAGGACAACTCATAGATCATGTAAAATGATAAATGGGAGAATGCATCTCAAAGATAACAATGCAGCAACCGACAATAGCAGAAAACCCTAGACCTGTCGCCTCGCAATAGGGTTGGAGAAGATCAGATCCCATCGGACAAAGTTACCGACTCCACCAGTTCTGAGTAATATCGAGCAACCCAATAAACCAAAAAGAAACCGACAAAGCAAACCCAGACCCACGATCAAGAAGATGAAGCAGTATCAATCTCCATTTTAGGAAAATCCCAGAATACCCAGAAGCCAAACTCGACAGAGAAGAGAGAAAACAAAGGCAGGCGAAACATTCAAAACCGTAAAGAGAAATCATGACACAGACATACCCATCGATGACCCGTAATCGAATTCGCAACCAAAATAAGTCCAAAGCAAAAACAGTGAGAAAGCAAAGTCGCCCACGACAACGTAAGAAGTATCGGTTCCCGCCACAAAACAGGGAACCCATAAGGAATCAGCTGCTAATTGGCGGAACAAAACCAAGGAAGAGATTCAAACGGGAAGAATAAACACTTACAACGAATGTATGGATCGAAATGCGAACAGAAAAAGCGAGAGAGCGAGGGAATGGATCGTGAAATGGGTTTCTCCGGAAGATGAGAACAGTTCTCACGCTCTCTCGCTCTCTCTCTCAGCTGCTTGGTCGTCGTCCTTCGTTGTGGGAAAGAAACATTTATAAATGATTAGCCCCACTTTTATAGTTTATACCTTATGTTGGAGGCATAGCTTTCCAAAATTACATATTAGCCCCATAATTTATTTGTTTTGACATAAAGTACCCAACCCATCACAACGGACTTTATGGGCCCATGGGCTTGAAGCTTAAAACGCAGTCGTTTTGAGCATCGATTAATCTCCGCCGGATTGCTCTTTGCCTTCTGTCGGGTTCTCCTCTGTCTCCGACACGCTCCAGGAATTGTTCGTTGCTCGGATTTCATGGAAGATTTTTGTGATCTCCTTATTCGGTAAGATTGTTGTGACTTGTTTTCGGAATTCGGAAGATTCGCTCGTTGTTTGGTATGTTTCGATCTCTTTTTTTTTCTCGAGGTAACGGAATTTGTTTTTACCGTGATTGAATTTGGAGTCTAGGGTTAGGGATGAAACACCATAGCTCTTGATTCGAGTAGTTGTGGTTATGTGCTTTTTTTTCCCCTCCTATTAATGGTTTCGGAGCTTGAGATTTCAGCTGCTTTTTTGTCCCCTTTTCGGTTCCTGAATGACGAGCGAGATCTTTCTCTTCGTTTGATTGGAAAGTTTTACTTCTGTTTCTCTGACGTTGCTAGATTTTCCAGCTCGGAGAAGAAAGGAATCATAGATTTTTCTGAATATCTGAACTCTTAGGGTTTTTTGAATTTGACAGGTGCTTGAGCCGGTTTGTCTGAATTGACAGATGTTTCTAAAATCGGCGTACTTGTATTGGACCTTGTTTGTCTAGTCTATTATTAGTCATGGAATGAACGATTGTTCCTACGCTTTGAATGCTGACACAATGCTGAAGAAATTCTCATGATTTGCATGTACTTCTCCTTCATAGCAGCCCGTCTTCCCAGTTCATAGTTTGCTCACCTAGCTGCTTCTACATATATCCTTATTGCAAGTAGTTTAGATGTGCTAACGGAGAGTCTCTTCAATTGCCTTATTGATGTCGTCGTTTCTTGGGATAGAATTTTTCTCTTTAGTGATAGAGGTTTGTCTGCTTCTTTGTGTTTGTTGTTTATTGTCTTCATATTTAATTTAAACTGAAAGTTGATAGAAAGGGTTCTGAGTGTTTAGAATAATTAAGACGTTGCTATTCTCAACATTTGGAAACCATTTGACCTATAAAGTAGCACGTGAAGTATTTTGACTAGTTCATCTTGATATGCTAAGACTCATCGTTTTTTCCGTTTCCTGTTCAAATTTCAGGAGAGGGATATTTTCAGGCAGCGGAAATAAACCGTAATTGCTTGTGCGTTGTTGACTCTACTTTAAGAATCTGCATTGTAAGGCGTAGTAAGATTACACTAACATGGGAGATGGTAGTACAACAAGCTCCAACAGCAGGGGTGTCGGGGCCAACAGCTCGAGCAGTGGCAATGAGAAACCAGAGTGGCTGCAACAGTACAACCTCGTCGGCAAGATTGGTGAAGGGACTTATGGTCTAGTGTTCCTGGCCAAAACCAAGACCCCTACAAAAAGACCCATTGCCATTAAGAAGTTTAAACAGTCAAAGGACGGGGATGGAGTTTCCCCAACCGCCATCCGTGAAATCATGCTGCTAAGGGAGATTTCCCATGAGAATGTTGTGAAGCTTGTGAATGTCCACATCAACCATGCAGACATGTCCCTGTATCTTGCTTTTGATTACGCCGAGTACGATCTCTATGAAATCATCAGGCACCACAGGGACAAAGTCATCCATCCCATCAATCAGTACACAGTTAAGTCGTTGCTCTGGCAGCTTCTTAATGGCTTGAACTACCTCCACAGCAATTGGATTATACACCGCGATCTGAAACCATCGAATATCTTGGTTATGGGCGAGGGAGAGGAACACGGAATAATCAAAATCGCTGATTTTGGGCTTGCAAGGATATATCAAGCCCCATTGAAGCCATTATCAGATAATGGAGTTGTGGTCACCATCTGGTATCGTGCCCCCGAGCTGCTTCTTGGGTCAAAGCATTACACGAGCGCTGTCGATATGTGGGCTGTTGGATGTATTTTTGCTGAATTGTTGACTCTCAAGCCGCTGTTTCAAGGGGCGGAGGCAAAGTCGACACCAAACCCGTTCCAACTGGATCAACTCGACAAGATATTCAAGATTTTAGGCCACCCAACTTTGGAAAAGTGGCCGACTCTCGGTAACCTTCCACACTGGCAGTCCGATCTTCAACACATTCAAGGGCACAAGTATGACAATGCAGGGCTTCACAACGTCGTTCACCTCAACCCGAAAGGTGCGGCTTTCGATCTCTTATCCAAGATGCTCGAATACGATCCACTGAAGCGCATCACAGCAGCACAAGCGCTAGAGCACGAGTATTTCCGGATGGATCCACTCCCTGGACGCAATGCCTTCGTTTCCTCCCAACCCATGGAGAAAATCGTGAACTACCCGAGTCGGCCCGTAGACACAAACACGGATTTCGAGGGTACGACAAGTATCAATCCTCCTCAAGCGGTACAAACCGGGAACGTACCGGGAAACATGGCAGGTGCTCATACAATGGGTGGAAGATCTATGCCACGGCCAATGGTCGCTCATAACATGCAGAGGATGCAGCCACAGGGCATGATGGGTTATAATTTCCCGGCACAGGCCGGAATGAATCCCGGAGGGGTCCCGATGCAGCAGCGGGGAATGCCTCAAACGCATCAGCAGCAACAGTTAAGAAGGAAAGACCCCGGAATGAATATGTCCGGATACGTGCCTCCTAACAAAAACAGACGCCTCTGATCGAACCAGCGGAGAAATCGGGAACCTTCCTTTCGGATCTTCACGAGGTAAGTTCTATATCGTATGTATCTGTTTCCGATCGTTTTTTCGCCTCCCGACGTTCGTGCTCGATAATCGTTGCTTTTTAGTTTTAGGCTAGGCTTGCGAACTTTGGAAAACCACCTGTAGAAAACGAACGAATACTGTATGAGTGTGAAAACGGGTGATCGGTCATTCTTGATTCATATTGGTAGATTCAGTTTGCGACATCCTTGGTTTTTTTATAGTGCAGCATTCAAGAAATGTCTTTAAGATTTCCTAAACCGGACCGGTTAAGGAGAACCATTTTAGATAAACCGGTTAACTGAGTTTAACTCCACAACCCTCACCAAATCAGTGGGGTTCATTAGTTTCGTGTTTATTGTACTCGAATAAATGAGTTTTAATCTTTTATCTCTCTTATTTACCGCGTAGGTGGGACCAGCGATCCTGTGTGAGTTTTCACGAAGGTCCATTAAAAAAAAGGGATACTCACGCCCGAGAATGTACGCCACAAATGTTCATGCATGGATTTGAAATTTTATACGAATAGCTATACCACCTTGCATTTGGTTAATCCATGCATGAATCTGCAAACATGTAAATCGAGTTGAATGGATGTGAATTTTTTTTTTTTACAAATTCCATATGGGTTTGAAAAAGTTTTGGAAAAAAAAATAAAGAATTTGTGGGAAATTTAGCTAATAACATTGATTTTACTGTACGTGAAACGAATTGAGCAGCGGTCAGTACCCTTAACCAGTAATCACAACGAATGTTATGTTTCGAGCTGAATGGGTGTAACAAGTAACAACATAAAACAAGCTCATAAAAAACCAAGAAAACAAAAGAAGAAAGATGAGGGAGAGTACAAGAAGCAAAGTATTCGTTCACAAGACCTCTCGTTCAAGCTTGAGGACGGCCATGAAAGCTTCCTGAGGGACATCCACTCTACCTATCGCCTTCATTCTCTTCTTTCCCTCCGCCTGTTCATACCAACCATTTACATGTTCCTTTTAAGCGAGCTTTAAACGTAAATAAATAAAAACTTGCAGAATAAAGGTGGATTAGTGGATACTAGCTGCTTCTAAATGCATAGTCCAGCCCCCAAGGCATTATACTTTGCCCCTTGGCTAACTGGCTTCTATATCATGGCATGGCTTACAAAGTTATTGCCTGTGAAAAAGCTTTACCTGTTTCTTAAGAAGCTTCTTCTTCCGTGAAATATCACCACCTACATGAATGACAGAAAACATCAGGAAAAGGACTATCTGAACAAAGAGCGTCCCCGACTCATAAACATGTCTATCTCTTCTCTTCAAGTCTCCCGTAAATCTGGACATTGCCCTCACTTGAATTGGTTAAAAGCTTTTCACTTTTAGAGAAGGGTTGAACAAATGGGAAAACAACATTAGATGGAAGAAAAAGAAGAAGAAGAAGAAGAAGAAGAAGGGTTATACTGGTTTGTTAGGGTAAGTTTCATACGTTCTTGTTTATTTTCTTCATGCTTACATAGTTAGCTTTATAATAACAAAGTCGTGTTTTTACCTTTATTAAGAATGCAGCTAACTCAGACTTTCATGGCGAGAAGGAAGGGAAGCAGAAACTCGAAAACATTATAGAGAATGTGCAACTTACCATAACATTTGGCTAACACATCTTTCCTGATCGCAGATAGTGACTCACTAGCAATCACCTTTGATCCCATACAAGCCTGTAAATGCAACGGTAGAACAAAAAAAAAATAGTCGGTAAGGAATAATGATGATAACCTATAGCGTAAACAAGACAGTAAATCATTGTTCTCGGAAGCAAGCCGCGGTAAACAAAAACCAAAAGTGAACCCTCGAAAGAAAAATCAGTGCTGCATCATTCTTCACAGAAGTTGAAGTAAAATATTTACCTGGATGGGCACTTTAAACATTTGTCGTGGAATAAGCTCTTTCAGTTTTTGAGTCAAAGCTCTCCCGACGGAATATGCCTGTAAGCATAGGTTGAAATGTATCTCACAGTGATGTGTGGCAGAAAGACTTTGACATTTAGTAAATGCTAAAAATACAAGATGTGTAGATATTTAAGAAGTTGCATTCTATTTTCCTCAGTTCAGAAAACTTGAGGTTAAAAGCATCGAGCAATAACCTTATCTTTGTGTACAATGGTTGACAAAGGTTCCACCTTCTCACTGTTGATCAGAATATCGAGTTTTATCAGATTGCTTTCCTTGTACCTGCACTCAAATTTGGAAGGAATGAGATACCAATTGGATATCTGCACGTATTAGGAAACAAAAGATAATGAAACATACGGGATAAAATCATAAAACCAGAAAACACCTTTGATGCAAAACAGAAGAAAACCTAGATACAGGTGATAGCTGATAAGAAAAAACAAAACCGGCCTTCCTATTTTTTTTTCCCCAGTCTATTAAACTGAAGAAGCTGACTGATGCTATTGTGAACCAAGGAGATCAACCAAATTTAACATATTGTTTTGAACAGAATAACTATCCATACCAAAATCCCGATTATTAAAGCCCATGAATAAAAATAGCTTTCTGGTGTGGCTAGAGTCTGTCTTATTCCCTTGTATATTTCTTGTGACTTTGGATAGTAAGAAAAAGCTTATAGATCTATATTACTTGAAGAAAATGATGAAGTACCCCTTAGATACACAAATAAAACAAAAGACATGGGTCATAGGACGAAGTGAATGATTGAAGAACTTACTCGAGAAATGTGTATTCCATGCTAGCATATCCCTTCGTCCTGGATTTTAACTGGTCAAAGAAATCTCCCACCATCTGCAAAAATAGACACAGAATTAATTAGGACAAGTGTGGTTCAAATAATCAGTAGAGACATCTCCAAGCTTTCAAATGGATCTCATCTGAAGAGTGGATAGATAGTAGTTTACCTCTGCAAGGGGTAACTCATAGATGATAGAAGCTCTATTCTCGGTTATATATTTCATTTCTTTGAACTCTCCTCTTCTCTCTTGAGCAAGCTCCATTAGTGAACCGATATAGTCTTTTGGTGTGAGCATTTCAATCTGAATACGTCATTCGCTATTATATCTCATCCTTTAAGCATCTCATATCAGTATCTAGAAAGCAGAAAAAGTAACCTTAACATAAGGCTCCTCAATTGATCTCCTCTGTCCAGGTTCTGGAAGTAACGATGGGTTTGAGCACTCGACCTTCGAAAACAATAATGTAAACGGTAGTAAGGCTCCAGATATAAAATGATATGTACACCTGGACTAGACCTGCGAGGGAAGAAAGTAGTTTAAAAGTTTGGGATCAAGAGGAAATTACAGTATCACCAGTTATACAGTTCACCCTATATACAACACTTGGAGCAGTGGTAATTAGACTCAGGTTGTATTCCCTCTCTAGCCTTTCCTGCGAAGAAGAATACCCAGAGCATGAATGCAGAAAAATGATTAAATGGACCTCTAAAGAACTTGTGACCTCAGTGAACATGGCAACTTGTGGTCAACACAAAACCTGGTTGGCAACTTCATGAACGACTGAAACTTAAAATAGTAAAATACAGATATGGATTTGAAAGATCCTAACTACCAATCCTTAACAGGATAAGAACGAAATTATACATGCATGTATCCAATCACACAACAGAATAACAGCTGTTAAAATTTTGACAAAAAAAAGAAGATAGAAATGTAGCTAACCTGTACAATTTCCATGTGGAGAAGACCCAAGAAACCACATCTAAAACCAAAACCCATAGCGTTTGAAGTTTCAGGCTCGAACTGCGGGATAGAAACCAAAACGAGGGTGGACCAAATAAAAACCAAGTCAACTATTGGTGTTCCAGAATCCAGAAATGAATGCCCTTTTCTGTTGTTTCAGCCGCTTGGTACCTTCAATGCAGCATCGTTGAGTTGAAGTTTCTCCAATGCATCACGAAGTTCAGGAAACCTGCCAGTAGACCACAGGTGAAGAGAAGCATGTAAAAGTAAAAACAAACGCTAGCAAAACCAACAATAAAAGATCATTACTGGTCCGCATCAACTGGAAACAGGCCACAGAACACCATAGGGGTAGCTTCCTCATAACCTGGTAAAGAGCATTCTGCCCGTCTACCGAAGCTTGTAATTGTATCTCCCACTCTAGCATCTGCAACAGATCTTATAGACGCAGAAAGGTAGCCAACCTGTACAGAAGAACAGAACCATTAAGATTACTTGATATAAGGTACATAAAAAAATGTGGAACCGTCCTGTGCTTTAGTTTTTTTGTTGAAACGTGATTACGTTATCAGGTATACATGCAGCATGGAAGGATTTCGTGTATCTAGATTGCATAAACACAACTGTCTGGCTACTTCAGTCGTGTAGCAAAGGAAGATGCAATTGCTCAAATCCTCAAACAAATCAAAACAAGAAAAGTAAACTATTTATATATATATATATATATATATATATATATATAGGAATGGGAGAGCTACCTATGGCCGTAATTGCCCATCATCATTCATTGCAAACACCAGAAACTTGTGAAAAAAGCAAACTTCTTCATTTCATATGTATTTAGGTCAAATCAGTCCAATGTACTCTTTCTTTTAAAGATCAGGTGTCTATATCTATAGAAAACCACACACAAAACAAGGTTCGAAAGAATACTCTACCTCACCCGCATACAATTGGTCAACTTGAATTTGATTTGGAGACAGAACTCCAATTTCATCAGCAAAGTAATCCTGCAAATGGAAACGGAGAAAATAAGGGAGGCTAATGATGGAGCTGTAAGCTTTCTTGGGAAGTAAATATTCTGATTTAGTACCTGAAAGAACTACAAAATAACAAATGAACTTCCTGTGACCATATTACAATTACAAAATTTGATTTAGTTACATTTTCATTCTCAAGTGTTTATGCACCATACCATTTGCCAATAGGCACCGCATTCAATCTTCACTATCACCATCATAAAACGATAAAGCAATTAAGGCAGGATGGTCTGACTCTGACAGGAGCACAGATAAAGGCTAACCTTCCCGCTAGCCATGAAAACAATTCTGTCACCTTTCCTTATTTTCCCATCAATGACTCGAAAATATACAATGACACCGCGGTATGGATCATAATAACTGCAGAGAAATGTATACTGGATAAGAAATAATTGTAGTTAAAACGTCAAACATGGAATTTAAGGAGATGAGTCAAAGCTGCAAAATGCTAATAAGTTTCAGTTTAGCAATGACGGGGCAATAAAAAACCGGAACTAGTTTGACATGGAGTAGTTAAGAGAAAAAAAAATATCTTCTGGAAGCCTCTGATTAGGGTAACATGTAATAAACTTAATAGCAATATGATTAATTAACCACATCAAAAAATTAACGAGAAACAGAAAGATGGCTAGTTATTTATTGAAGTCTGATAATATAGTTTAGGCTCCTCAAGTGAATGCCTATTCAAGACAACATCACTATTGCAGCAGAAAGTATATGATTCATAATAATGTAAATTTAAATCGTTTGAAATATCCACCTTCAAAAATTAAATTTATGCAAAAATGATTAAATTTGTTCTCATGATTATCATCACAAGAGCCAACCTATCAAAAATTAACGCTCTTAGAGGATTTTCAGCTGTATCACGGGGTGCAGGAATTCTTTGAACAACTGCATTCAATATATCAATAATACCAATTCCTTCCTGCAGAAAGCAAACAATCAAAAGAAAAATATAAGCCATTGGGTGCCCATAGATGTCAGTTCTGAAGAACCAAAAGGTTTTAGTGGCAAATTAGCAGAATGATGTAAAGCCTAACCTTTGCTGAGCAGAGTATTGCTTTGCTACAATCTAACCCGATAACCTACAAACACTTCAGGTTAACACCAGTTTCGAAACAGTATTCACACAGTGTGCTTTCTCAGAAATCATAGCACCAGGAGCTGACATCCCATTAGAGAAACGTGAGATTTGAGCTAAGCATCTCAAAGAGGAAATACACAACACAGAAAAATTGCATACTGCAAAAGAATTTGTCAACACCATAGTCTTCTTCAAGAACAAAGAGCAACCATAATAGGCTGCACTGTACCAATGCCACACAATAGAGATATAGACAGTAGGCTAACAGGTATAAAGAGAAGTACCAACCTCTTCCATCTCCTTGATGACACGATCTGGGTCAGCACCTGGAAGATCTATCTTATTCAAAACCTGCAAGAAATAAGCAAAGTTCCAAAGCCATAAACTCAAGTACAGATACAAGTTAGTCAGAGTTATAAAATTGAACTAGAAGCATCTTAATGCTGAAATTTTTTTTATCTACGTTTGGTTTCTCTTTTGTTTATATAAATGCCAATAGTTACAGTAAGGGTGAGTCAGTCGTACTATCGTAGAGGTTATTGCCAAATTTCCATACTATGTTTAAAGAAACTCATGCTGGAAATGATTAAAATAATTGTTTAAATAACATGTTTGCCCTACTTTTAAGTTACCTAAACCATTGCAGATCTTTTGTAAGTTTTTCCATATATAAGAGGCCATTTACATCAGTGAATAACTTGGACAAGCTAGAAGTAGAAATGAAAAATAAAAGCCGCAACTACTTGACACTTTTTTTCTTATTAAAATGGGAAAAGTATAAAACCTAATAACCAGATAAAACATAACTCTGTACTTACAGGAATAATCTCGAGGTTGTGTTCTAGCGCCAAATAAACGTTTGCCAGAGTTTGAGCTTCCACTCCCTGAAAACAGAGAGTATAAGCAGTAAGAGATCGCAACATATTCAATGGGGGGAAAAAGATGGCTAAACCAATACATCATAATTCAGGTTTTAATAATATAAAAAATTGTATATCAATAGATGGAGGAAATACCAGACCTGGGATGCGTCCACAACAAGAAGTGCACCCTCACATGCAGCAAGAGATCGTGAAACCTATAAATAAGGGAGAATATCCAGTTATTAAAACAAGTTATTAGACAGCAAGTTTTGACCTTCACAACCAATTATTGGATGATTAGGCAACAAATTAAGAGGTCTGTTCCATTAACTCAAGCTTCAGATTATGCAGAAATTCCCTAGTAGCTAACATTCCGATACAAGTAAGCCAGAACTTTAACTGTAAGATGAGGCTGCATTCCACAAATGTGAGGAAGGAAGATGTACTGTAAAGCTATAACTATGCAATATTTGACAAAAGGCTACACTGCAAAAAAAAAAAAAAAGGAACGACTTCTCAGAGAATTCGAGTAACATCAGGATCTTAAATACCTCATAAGAGAAGTCGACATGTCCTGGAGTATCTATCAAATTGAGGCAATATGGTTTGTCTTCGAAAACATAACGCATTCGAGCTGCCTGTGCAAACACAGAAAAGCTGTCTTAACAGACACAGAGAACAGTAGTGAACAATAAAAAGTAACTTAAAATCTAGAAAACTGAATCCCAATACATTATTAGAGTTGTGGGAGTCTTTGAGTTATGTCACCAGTAAAATAAATTGTAGCTTTCTCCCAATTCACATAGTATCATAGACCAAATCGTGTTGAGAATCCAATTCATTGATTCAAGAAAGCATAACCGAAGTAATTCGAAACCTGCAGTTTGATTGTGATGCCTCTTTCTCTCTCCAAATCCATGTTGTCGAGAAACTGCTCCTTCATCTCTCTGGTTTGTACAGTACCAGTCATCTGAAGCAACTTATCAGCTAATGTCGACTTCCCATGATCGATATGAGCTATAATCGAGAAATTCCTGATGTTCGCAATCGGAACCTGAACTTCAAACAATTTCAATAACCAAATGTTCACCTCCTCTCCAAGAGTCAATACAAAAGAAATTTGAGGGAAAAAAAAACATCAAACTCGAAGAACTAAGACCTTCAACATACGGTCCTGACCGGCTCGAACGGCGAATTCAGAGTCGGAGAGCTGCGTCCCGGCGGCCGACTCGCAGAGCACCGACGTCCGGCGGCGGAGGCGGAGGCGGAGATCATAGGGACGGCGGGGGGTGGAGCTAGAGAGAGAAAGGGAAGAGAGGTTTAGAGAGATAAAGTGACGATGAAGAGAAGAAGAAGTTCCTGATAAGATGAACGTTGGAAGGGAGAGGTCCGTTGCAGTGGAAGCAGCCATTGCCATTGCCACAACTTCTCTGCTCCTTTTTCTTCTCCAATATTTTAAACTTTTTTTTTTAAATTCTTAGCCACAGACTCAGATCGGCTCTAATCTTGGGTTGGGTAGGCCCATTTAGGTCCAATTTAACCAATTCCTTATCAGCCGGCCCATTTAGGCCCATTTCAATCAATTTGTCGTTTCACACCGCATGTGTATAGATCCCATTAGGGGTATTTAATTTTTTAGCCATATTAATTTTAAAAAAACGAATTTTCAGAACCAAATAATCAAATTGAAATTTAAAAGAATCTAAAAAATAAAATTGTTTAAAAAAGACCTAATTTTTTTACTAAAGATCGAAAATAAAATCGAATCGAATATAATATAATATAATAACTAGTTGGTTATTTATATAAAACCAAAAAAACTGAACTAAATCATTATCGACACGAAACCCGAAACAAATACCGAAACATACATTCTAGATCATATGACCATGAGTAATATGCTTTTTTAGGACATTCTTGATTTGTCCAAATCGGTGTGCTTTGACTTGTCTTTTTTTTTGGGGGGGGGGGGGCATTT